TACTGATTGCTAACTTCTTATACCTAAATTATAGGGTCCCACTAATGTGGTCCTTTGCTCCCTTTGAACTGTAGCCTTCTGTGAAAAGTGCTTTCTCGTGTTCCATGGGAGTCTCATACAAAGTGTTCCCAGGCTCAGATGAAGTGTGTGTAGTCAGGTTTGTGATGGGAAATGTTAGTTCTTAAAATGCATGGGTGGTTTCCCTCACAGGCTTATTTCTTCATATATAGGAAGAACCTATAACCACTCTGAGTGCACAACTCGTTTTGTACATTATGCTGCATGAATGGTTACAGAATTATTTACCATGTGAGAAGACATTTATTTAACTTAATACATGGACTTCAACATTTATGGGAATCTTGAATGATGATTCATATGGGTCCTTTCCAGCTTGAGATATCCAGTGATTCTATGACAGTTTGGCTCCCTATCTGGACAAACAAGTCTGTTAGTAGATTAAGTTAGCCTTCAAAGCTAAACATTCTTGTTCATTTTGTGTTAACTTGCTAAGCTAAATATTCTTGTTCATTTTGTGTTAACTTGCTAAGCATCATTCAGTCTCCTCTGTCACTGGGTTGTAAAGTTTCATGAGGAGGATGGTGCTTTTGCTTCCTTTCTCTTTCTTAGCAAATTGGTTCTGTTCCAGAGGTTCTGATCTTTGCCAGTTTTTGCAGTTTTAGCAATATTAACTTAGATTTAGGAATGTTAATATGGCTTTTTGCCGTATGATCATGTTATATTTTTGGAACAGTTGTACTTAGGGAAGGGAAAAAAAAAAGTGGTAATCTAAGTTTTACTCAATATTATGTTTAAATGATTCTATGCCTCTTCAAGGTATATGAACTCCAAAAAAACTACAGGGTTTGAGTAGTCTTATGTTTTTTCCCTATTTGATCCCCCAGGTGTCTCGAGATGGTGGCCTTGCTGTGCCTACCAGTGATGTCCGTGGAAGCAGTGACATTGTGGAAGGCGGAAGGATGGCTCTAGATAACAAAACTTCCCTACTTAACACCCAGCCTCCCCGCAGCTTTTCAGGGCCACGTGCTCGAGAGTATAACCCCTATCCTTATGCTGACACAATTAACACCTATGACAAGACTGCCCTGAAGGAAGCAGTATTCGATGATGATATGGATCAGCTTCGGGATGGTTTGTATCAGCGTGTATCATAAAACCTCAGGCAGCTTGGTCTGTTTCCGGTATTTTTTATTTATGGGTAGTACTCTCAGATACCTGTCTGCACATGGATACGTTGTGACATCTGAGTCCAGACTTGGTATGAAATACATTTTATTCTCATGTACCATGAGAACCTCATCTGTGGCTATTGAGAACATATTATACCGCAGTTTTGATTTTTGTTTGCTAAGAGTTTTCCCCAGACTAGTCCCTTAAGCATCTGAATGCATCTATGGGGATACTATTTTGGGGACCTTCCACTCTTTGAGTGAAACATCTCACTCAATAGCTTGTTACTGAGCATTTAACTTCATTTAAGTGATGCTACACCTTAGCTTTATTCTTTAGCACCTATGAGTCACTGTACTTTGATCTAAAGATCATACATGTGTTTACCAGCTTTGGGGTGTGTGTGTCTGGAAAAAACTGTGGCAGTTCTTGTCTTGTAGAAGTAATTATTGGAACCGGATTAAATTCAGTTGTCATATCTCTTCCTGGTTCATTAGAAGCCATGAGCTGTGTTACGAACTTACATGAAATTGTGGGCCACTCAGATTCTCTTGCCTGCTTGACTGGGGCCACCTGGAATTTGATGCCTTTTGGGGGGGCCCTTGTTACATGCACTTTGTTCTGTAGGGGATTAGTAATCTTGGCATCTTTGATCTTTTTCCCCATTTCCCCAAGTGATTTGTTGCCATTTGTCCTAGAAGTGCCCATTGACCATTCAGATTTGGTGGCTGATCTTCTGAAAGAGCTCTCCAACCACAACGAACGGGTGGAGGAGCGGAAAGGAGCTCTCCTGGAGCTGCTAAAGATCACAAGGGAAGATAATCTTGGAGTTTGGGAGGAACATTTCAAAACCATTCTGCTTTTGCTGCTGGAAACTCTTGGAGACAAAGATGTGAGATACAAATTTTTGTCTTAATTCTCCTGATACTGCTTCATCTAGGATGATAGTTTCTCCACACTAGTTTAAATGAAACTAGTGTTTGTATGGCATCTCAGCAGTGATGCTGCACTACTTATTTTTCTTTTTCCATTTGAAGGTGGATAACTCTGCTTTCATTTTCATGGTGTTCAGTGATGAGTTTTAAGCTACTCTGACGTGTCCCAGTTTTCCCCTCTCCCTCCTGAGTGCTAGTGAGAAACAACTAGGAAATTGAACTAGAATCAGAAAATAAGTTATCTTCTAATCTAGTACAAAAACTATCAAGATTTCAAAAGTTGTCCCCTTCCAAGTTAGGATGAAGTTACAAGCTCTTAACTATATTATGCCCATGCACCCCAAAAAGGAGAATAAAGGCACCTTAGAATATTCTTCTTTCTCTGTGTGGTTTAACAATCCAGGCTATTAGATCTCATGGGATGCGTCTCTGTCTCTTGCAAAAATGTCATCAAGAATAAACAGCTATTATGGGGCATCTTGTTTTGAAGTATTAAAAAAAAGCTGTGTTATTATCACAGCTTTATATTTGGTAGTTGATCAAAGTGGTAATTTACAGGCTAGCCACTTGGGGCTATTTGTTCAGCTTGCAGCACAATGATATTTGGTAAAGGCTCACCACCCTGCGGCGCCTTCACATCAGAGCCACGCTTCATCTGAATGTTACAATATTTAGTCTTCAAAGCACTTACAGTGCTTCTTTTTTTTTTTGTCAGATTCAAAATCAATGGTATTTCTTATGCTTCTTGTAATGCATATGATGCATGTGCTCAGAAATTTTAATTCTGAAGCAGTGTAGGTGGCTGATATTTTCTCATTGTTCATAGTATAAGCATGAGCTACTCTAGTCCTGCATGTTTAGTCATAGCCTCATCACACATGTATCAGAAGATGTGGTGGCTTTAAGTACCTATGTATTGTGCTACTGGATGAATTTTGCAGATGTATAGCAAGGGACATGCTTTAAAGGCTGAGTATAGAGTAAAATAAGTAATATTCTGTTGAAATGATAGAATCTATTTGGAGTGGCCACAGGCCAGAAACTTAATGTAACAGTTATGAAATTGAAGCAGGTGTTACAAATCCCTTCTGCTAATGATCTTTTGATATGAAGGATTAACACATAGTTCAGTGTTGACTACAATGACTTAACTGTTCTTGAAAGTGATTTTTATAGGAGTTACAGGAAGAGAAAACATTTTACTGTGTCAGTACATGAGAAGCAACTTTGGAGCCCAGGTTGATATCTGCAAGGCTAAGCAGAAGAGGAAGGGCAAAACAAATATGACCTGAACTGCTTTGTAGATTCATGTAATACAGATATGCTGCTTTGGGTACACATTTGTACTTCATTGCCAAAAGATTATGAGTAGACTCATTCTGTGACAACAGTAATTTAATGTGAATTTTTGTGCAAAAGCAAACGAGGAGACCAATTTTGAATTTTAGTTATATTTATTACACTGTTCACATTGCTGGAGCTGGTGTAATGTAAGACCAATATAAGATTTCTGGTGGCATAGGGAGCCATAGAGTTTACTTCAAACTATAAATTTGAGAACTGACTTTTTCTAGCGCGGATTTGATTTCTCATTACACAGCATTCAATAAGAGCCCTGGCACTGCGAGTCCTGAGGGAGATCTTGCGGAACCAGCCAGCAAGGTTTAAGAACTATGCGGAGTTGACTATCATGAAAACACTGGAAGCACATAAAGATTCCCACAAGGAGGTGAGTGAGTCTTTCCGTGTTGCTACTGGGAAAACAATATGTACCTGCTGAAAAAATGCAGGACTTGTGAGACTTAATAGGCAAACACGTTGACCTATCTTGTGACAGAAGTTTCCCATGTATGAAGAGACAGGGATTTTACATGCTAAAGCAGGGAGGAAAAGAGTTGAGACTGACATTGCTGTTTAAGTGGACTTGAAGCTATCTGGAATTTTAGGCATCTGTTTATAAACTTTCCAGGATTTCCCTGCTTATTCTGGGAGAGGCTGAGACCCTGTAGTAGAAAAGTGCATGTTTAATAATTTTGCAGAGCACACTGGAGTCACTGTGTCTGTGTGGGTAAGGATAAGCAATGTACTGGCGAAGACAAAGCTCGTGTCTAAGCAGAACCATCTATGAAAACTGAATGATGAAATCAGACCATGCTGGAGAACTGGGAACTGGTGAGCGACAGGAGAAAATGGACAAAGGCTGTACTGCTGACAAGAAGCTGGGGCAGAGGAAGAAGCAAAGGGCAGGGAGAATTGCATTTTCCTTTTGTGAGAGAACTTGAACTAAAGGTATTCTTCTGGAATAAAACAAAAATCAAGGGACATGATGATAACATTTGAAGTAGATCAAATTACATTTAAGGCTAGTCTTTGTAGGTTGACTTTCAAGCTGGATCTTTTAATCTACCTTGTGCATGTTGCAAGTTTGAACTAAACCTTGGAAAATGCCTTGTGAACTTTTCTGTCTGTGATGCCTTTGTTACCGAAGTCCTTGGTTTGAAATCTAAGACACTTATTCTTCTCCGCAACAGGCTTATTCTGAACTAGCAATTTCAGGCATCTCTGGAGAGCTTTGGCCATGAAAAAGATCATTGTATAGATCAGACTGCTCCAGAGCATTGTGTAACTAGCACAACATTACATTAGCTGTGTGTAGCAGAAACTGTACTGTTTAAAAATTAAAACTACAAAACAAAAAACACCCTCAGGGAAAGAAACAGTCTGGGTTTCTCTAAAATGCAAAAGTAGAAAATGGTTAATCCTTTAGTGAATGAAGACTGCTGTACTCTGCCTACCTTCCTCTCCTTGATTTAGAGACTTTGCACTCCTGTCATTTTCAGTTCAGAGTAATAAGAAGCAGTTGTAAATTGATTTCCTGATAAAGCAGTCAGACAAAACGTTATGTTCTGAAGGAGTGCCTTTTATTGGCAAGTTTTCCTGGTTGCATACTTCAGCTCACCTTGACTCAGAGCTCTTAGTATTTTTTGTCTGAGTCCTCCAAGACTGCCATTTCTAGTAGGATCTTTCCAGATTCTCTGACATTGTTTTAATGCCCCTCAGAATTCACTGTCCTCATGGGTTTTAGAGAAATCAAGAACGGTGTTGAAAACATGACACTTTATGACTCTGTACTCCCCACACTGTGTTCTTCACGCTTGTAGTACAGAAAGGTTTTTCAGGATTTGCCTGAGGTGCTTCCTGAGGAAAAGCATAGAAGAAGAGATGGCTAAAGAGAAAGCAGAGCGTAAGCCAGGAATTAAGAGATGTGAGTTCTGGCACTTATAGAAGAATAATGTAACTGTGTTAGTATCAGCAAGTAGATGCGATGTGCATAGCATGGCTTTGATTTAAACTAGTTTTGCATAGCATCTTCATAATTAAAAAAGATTGTATTTGCAGCTGCTGCAGTGAGAACTTTGGGTGACAGCTGTCATAGCAGGACACTGCAGATATATTCCTATTTTACTATCTGTTGCTAAGCAGTTGTGTGTGCACAGCTGTATTAAGTGTTGGTGGTGGATTTTTCATTCTATACATGTGGTTTTTGTGACCCTTGTGTAAATGGAGCTCTCAGAACTGTGATGCATCTGTCTTTCAGGAGTTTGAGAATATCAGCATTCATGAAGTTAAAAGAGGTTTCCCAACCTGCTCTTGGGTATCTACATAAGCTAGGCTAAAGATATACCTGGGAATATGCTTTAGGTATTTTTACCTGTAGCTGAGGCTTGCCGATTCAGTTAGATTGTGAAAAATTAACCTAGAGTCCATCTGAGCATGCTCACTTGGTCAAACTCATAGCCCTGGGCCAGAAGGTCACAAATTCCCATCCCGTGGTTGCCTTCCAGCTTGCTCTCACTGCTGACTGTTGCACTGCTTTCTCCAGGAGGGGTGGACAAGCTGCCTTTTTTGACTTGGTCCCACTGAGCAGGAGCTTAAGTGACGATTCACCAGTTCGTGATTAAAGGGCACTTTGAAAGAATAGCTGAAGAAGGAAAGGGAATATCTGAGTTAGGGCAATATTAAAGGCAGTGCTGCAACATCTGTGTAAAATAAAGTCTTTCTCTGGACTGTAAAACCTATTTCAAGGAAAGCTGCTAAATAGTTTGGTTAGAAAAGTGTTAATCCTTGTGCCAGTGATGCCCTGATAAGATGTCGCTCTGGGACTTGCTATGTTTCTGGGCTGCTGCTTTTAGTAGAAAGACAGGAGTGATCCTGGTTTATGGTTTGAGATCAAGTTTTTGCTCACATTTTCTGTTACGTATAATCCGCAGAGAATCAATCTGAAGTGACCAAGTAAAGAGAGTTTGCAGAGGAGCACGGTACAAACCTATTGATTTTGGGTACTGACTCCAAGAAGTCACTGTACTAAGAGGCAGTTCTTTGGAAATGAAGGTTCATCTTCTACCCAAATTCCAATATTGCTGCTGTTCAGCATGGCCAGAAGGGATCAAATAACAAATTATAACCAACACATTCACCAACCAGCAAATATCACCCCTTCCTCCAGTTGAGTGCTGATACCTAGTTAAAGATATCAGCACTTTTGTTTGAAATAAAAAAGGTCTGTGATTTTATTTCAGATTATATAGTTGGAAGTATGAAAGCAGCATTAGCATAGATAGATATTTTGAGATGCCTGGATAATAGGCTGTTTTTTCAAGTCCAAGCAGAAGTCTTTAGACAATTGGGTCTATTGGGTCTAGACAATTGGATCTAGCCATGGCTAGAACTCTTCTGCCTTCTGTTGCTGAAGGCAAGGTCTAGGATCAGCAGAGCAGCATGGCTAAGAGAACCATTTCTCTTCCCAGGGACATAGAAGCAGAAAACTTGGTACATGGAGTTGGATGCTGAGTTGTGCCTTGTGAGCACAAATGCAGGAGACTGGCAAATCACAGACCTCAATGGGGTTCAAAATTAATGTAACCTTAGGCTACAGGCTAGAAGACTCTGGGTTGGGATTCATGTTTATAGTTAGCTAATTTTTTTTTTTTTAAGTTCAGCCTGGTTTTATGCTGTTTGTTTGTAGTGTACCAGCCTATTCAGTGCTGTTGATTTAATGGGGTGATATGAAGAGTCAAGCCTGCTTCTGTCTTAACTGTAAATATTTATGGGGGTTGACATGTAAATGCTTTTCACTTATTTTTGGAGCATTAGAACATAATTGAAGTTGTGGATGGTATTAAATCTTGTTGATTTTTATCACTCTTTGTTTGGAGTTATTTGGAAGAGAACCATCTTTCTGTTGCCAATTAGTTAATATTAACTCATTTGTTCCAGTGTACTTACCCATAACTAAGGAGAGATTCTGCCTGCTGACCCAATACCATTGATGTGACATTGCTTCAGATTCATACCAGGAAAATGAGTATAAGTTCTTATTACTGAATATTTTAAAACAGAAATAGTTTGTTAGCTTGGGAAATCGTTACTAAGTGAAAATCGTAAGATAGCTAATTCCCTGCTTCTGTCTCTGCCACTCTTTTTTTCTCAGCAACTAAGAGAATGTGTAAAGAAAGGATTTTGTGCTTTGTCTTAGATACCTAACTTTGGTCTTTTGTTGTCCAGAACGTCCATAAGCATAATTGATATGTACCATTCTCTGTTGTAGTCCTCTAAAAGAGGGTAAAAAAGAAGAAATTGCAGCTATCCAGTAACTGTAGATAATTATGTTGCTGAGGTGCTTTTAGACTGGCCTCTGATATTTAGAAGATGGTTTGTAACTGATGATGGTGTGATCTATTTAGGTTTCTGCAAAATGTAGTTTAGTAAAGAAGGAAAGCACTAAATGATCACAGTCTTTAAGGTTAACTGATACGTAGTCCATGCTGGAAGCAGCCAAGCACTGCATCAGCTGATGTTTCATAGTATATGTGCTTTTTCTAATTTCCAACACATTTCAAATACTTACTGCACAGAAGAAGCAGTCTAATCTACTTCATCTCCTCTGAATCCCTTATAAAAATCACATTGTTTTTTGATCTGTTTAGCACTCCCCACTGCTGAGTCTACTTCCTGCTTTGAAACCAAATTCTTAATTGTTTGTTCCTGTCTGGATCAGACCGTCAAGCCTTCAGGGATGGGAGTTTGCCTGGCTAGGTATTGGTAAACCTCCATCCCCTCCAGCTTGGATTATGCAGGCTTAAAGTAACCATCTCCTAGATGGCAAAACTGGCTCAGAAACACAGCTGCATGCCTTGTAAGCCTGAGAGCAAGACTGTGTCCTGCTTAAAAAACTTCTCTGGTGCTCTGCAAGTTCCACAATAGCATACAAAGCCTCTGAGTTTTCAGTGGGCTTTTTCCTACACTGCCTCATTGTCTACGATTTGCTGCAGAGATGGTGCAGCTAGCAATCATGGCAAAATATAATCCAGATTATGCTCCTACATACAGCTCTCATGTAGGTGCATAGGTGCTGCTCTGCTGAGATCCCAGTGTGTTACACTGATGCCCTATGTAGCCTGTGAACCTGGCGTGTTCTGTCGTAGGTGAGTTAGGACGTACATTTTTCTTTCCTTGTTTGGCAGTAGTTCGTGTCACTTCAAAGCAGAAATAAAACCATCAAAACCATTCAGAAAGCTGGTGCATATTGACCAAGAGCAGATTACCACAGTAAACTGCTTGCTGCAGCCAACAGGCAGCAAGGAACATCTCTAACACTGAGAGTAATAGCTGAGCAGAAGAAATTCTGTGGGAGAGTTGAAGTCTTGTTTCTGACTGTCTTAAGCCAAC